ATGTAAAATAGCTGCGTGGGAGAGAGGAGGCGTGTGTGTGTGTCTGAGTGTGACAGAAGAGGCTGAGAGAAGGAGAAAGCAAGGAAAGAGCACAGATACTAGCATGATCAATGTGAAAAGATGTGAGATGGGCTGAAATACAGGAAAACAATACCAGAAATTTCAACACATATAACCAATTTATTACCAGTATCACATTCATCACATTTAGCGTGTTGCAGGTCTTTTCAGAGGGCCGTGCTGAAAGTAAAGGGAAAAACTGGACAAAGAATGTCTGATTAAAACAGGATTAAAGTAGGCTTTCATAGGCATCTTCCTGATGAGTTTTTGGCATAGTAAAAGTGATGATTTAAGCAGGTTTGGTATGGTGATCCTTTTCTAAGAATGATGAAACATGGTAGCTTGTGGTAACTACATATTTACCGTGGCTCTGGATTTTATTAAAAATTTTTCAGCCATCTCAGTGGTTTGGCTCTGCAGATGGTAATGTCTAATATTACCATAATATCTGCAATCTCTGTCTCTGCACTTTCATCGTCAGAAGTCGACCAACCAATCTTAAGCTGCGTCTATATTGCAAGTGATTTGCAGCGCCATGGTGACCAAAAACCACTGAAACTGACATTTTTAGATTTTTCAAGCAACTATGGGCGAAATAACTCCTGGCAACGGGAAGTGGGCGGGACCTGGAATAAACCTTCCTTAACTACTAGACAAGCAATTGAAGGGGTTACCGACTGCCATGTTGATTGACACTTGACCTAGAAGGTTACCTTGGCGACCAGAGCCTGGAATGTCAGCAAGTGACCAGATGTCAGTTTCAAAGCGAAACACTTCCAGTGTGGGCACAGCTTAAGGTCCCCTGAGTTACCAAATCTCCTGAAAGTTTGATTCTATGTCAGATAAAAACAAGCTAAAATGATTTATGCACCTACAGCACCTGCTTCACACTCTCCACTCTAATTCATCCCATAGGTATTCTATCGGGTTGAGGTTAGGACTCTGTGCAGGCCAGTAAAGTTCTTTCACACCAAACAAAACTACACTTAGCACAATGCAGTCAGACAAGTACCGCTGAACTAGCAATCGCCAAACCCAGACTTGTCCATTTAACTGTCAGATGGAGAAGCATGATTTGTCACTCCAGAGAACACTGCTCTAGAGTCCAGTGGCAGCGAGCTTTATACCACTGCATCCTTTGCATTGCACTTGGTCATGTAAGGCTTGGATCCAGCTGCTCAGCCATGAAAACTTCATTCCATGAAGCTCTCTGCACGTAGTTTTTGGGCTAATCTGAAGGCCACTTGGAGTTTGGAAGCCTATAGTGACTAAGGCTGCAAAAAGTTGGGGATCTGTGTGCAGCATCTGCTGACCACGCTCTGTTATTTTCACTTCATGTCTGAGTTGCTGTTGTTCCACCTTTGTTATAATACTTCTAACAGTTGACTGTGGAATATTTAGTAGGGAGGAAATCCATGCGTCTCGTCATGGTACCTGAGAATGACCCGTTCTGTCACAAATGTTTGTAGAAGCAGTCTGCATGACTAGGTGCTTGATTGTGTACACCTGAAGTCATAGAGTGATGATTTGGATGAGTAAGTAAATAATTTTGGCAATATAATATATATATTGATTAATCCCCGCCCCTTACTGTTTGCCTTCATCGCCATATCAAATTGAAAATAATTTGTCCTCCAGCTAGTCCTGATATCAGTGGTGTTTTGATCTGGTTGTTATTTTCCGCACAAGTCTTTCTTCTCTTTCTTACAATATTTTTTTACTCAGCAAAGAACTGATGTGACACAACAGATAAATAGTGGCTACTTGTCAATAGGCACATGGCAGCTATTAAGGCTGATAAAAGTACACGCCAGTTTTAGCCTATATGTAGACAGACAGTGAGACTGCTTTCCTTTTGTACCACCATCAGATTTGCCAAACTAATGACAGCCTCTGCTGCACTTTGTGTTTACTGTTAATTAGCATAAGCTAAGATGATAACTGGTAAGCATGTTAGCATTGCAACAAGTCTTGTTGTGCCTCTAACATGCCTCTACCTTAGTGAACACAGAAAGGTCGCTACAACTGTGTTGAATTTGTTAGGAAGTCATTCTTTTTTCTGTTGCTAGAAAGGTTTAGCTTGTGGTACAGTTTATGAAGATACTTAGCTAACCATCGTTAGCCGGTTTCTGCTGTTAGAGCAGCAAAAGTTGCTATGTGTTAGTTGGCATACTGTAATGGTGCTTTTTTCCTCCATTCATGCAACTGAAAAATATACTTTTCTAGTATTCAGCAGTATTCAGCTGTGTGGTATGTTGTAAACAAAATTGTATAAATTAGAAATGAGTGCACAGAAATTTCAAGGCAGAATTATAAGTGAATGAAGAGGAGCTTCTTCCCCCAGGCTATTCGGGGCCTGAACCAGGTGTAGGACTGGACTCTCCCAAACACGTCACTATAAGACTGGACTCTCACACACGTCACCACACGCACCACCACACATTTCCTATAATTCTATAATTCCTATAATTTATAATCCTTATCTTTATAATCTCTTCTGCTATTTGCACATTCTTTACTGTAAATTCCTAAGTTAATTTGTAAATTTTTGTAGTAAATTGTAAATATTGTAAAACTTTTCTTCTGTCATTTAATGGTCGGGCATTGTACAGCTACAAGCATTTCACCCCCATGTCATACTGTGTATGGTTGTGTGTGTGTGACAAATAAAATTTGAATTTGAATTTGAAAGTGAGTACTACACATCCTTACAATATTCTCACCTGTCTTTTATTCATTGATGTTATTATATATAGATACTTATCACTTCTTTAACTCTTAGGAGATTTTATTTATTTACTTATGTCGCAGATCTCTTCCTGTAAATCTTTATTGGCCTATAGGGCTGCCATGATTAGTCGACTAGTCACGATTATATCAACTATCAAAATCGTCGAAGACTATTAGTCGTCAACGATTTTGATAGTCACTAATAGTCGATGGGTCGTTTGAAGCTTAGTAAGATCCTGAAAGACGCAAGGATGCCAGCTGCCATTAAACACCAAAGAAGAAGATGAAGCAGTCTGCGGTATCGTAGCTGTGTCGAAATTCAGGGGCTACATCCTTCGGAGGCCGCATTTGTAGGCCGATTACATTACAGCAATCGAAGACTGTCCAAATTCAAAGACTCGTCCAATAAATGCGGCCAATAAATGCGTCCTCTTTTTCCCCAGAGTCGGATGTGTCCGTGGCCCAACCTATCCCAGAATTCATAGCGCGGCCAAACCAATTCCATTTTCCAACAATGGCGGCAGCTACTTAGTTTTAATAATACTCTTTCTTGGTCACAAAATAAACTTTTAAGATAATTTCAGGCGAGGCAATATCTGCTCGATTTATCAAGACATCACATATTTGCAAAAGTGCGCCGACGTTTTCGGAAACATCTGTTAGCCACTAGCTCAATAGCTCACCGGGAGGTCAGCGAGAACAGCGAACTCCCAGCACATCGTTTTCAAACCCCCCGCGGTCTTTTGCTACTCAGGTTAAACATGATATACAAGTCACTTAGATAACTTAACAATATTATTGTTTGGCTTTTTTCAGTGTTTTATTTGTTCTTGAGTAAATCAGTTTGGCTAAGATTAAAGTTATAGTTTTCACACGGCTGAATAAATGTTAAACAGTAAACTCATTAAACACAAGTGTGAGGTGGTCGAGAATTTTCTCCAGTGTCATGCTATGTATTAGCGAGCGAGGAGCAGATGGCGAAGTTTATTAAACTCCACCGAGATAATCTGCAAAGTTCAGTTAGCACATACCTTAAACACTTCAAGCTGTAAGCTAATGATAGTTATATAAGAGCAGATGCTGCTGGTGCAATAAGCTGCACGTTTTATGTCCATGATCTGATTTGTTGACTAATTGCAAAAATAATCTGTGACTAGTCGACTATCATAATAATCGTTTGTGGCAGCCCTATTGACATATAAACCAACAAACAGCTGTTTGAAAATGTAAACTATTATCTCAGTTTTGGAAAGCCACACGGAGCTTAATAAAAATGAGGTTTTAATCATTTCTTTTTCCACTGGAAGAAAGGGTTTGTACGTAATTAACAAAATCCTCCATGTATCTTATGAATGTACAATTTATTGATTTGTAGGTAAAAGCAATTAATTAAAACTGTGTATATGTAATTATATCCTGTGAAGTCCCATTGAGAGTGCAGACATTTGGTGCAGAGACACAGAGATAGAATTGGCATTTGGTTGGAGGACAAAAGTGAAAGACACAAAGATCAAAGTAGGCAATACTTTAAATTCACAGTCAGTGAATTTTTGAGTAAATTTTAAAAAAAAAAATTCTGTTGTTGTTTTTTTGATCCGTTAGTTGGCCTCCTGTGTTTTGTTTTTGCTCCTCTCTGTGTGCATCCACACTCTCTCCATCATCCATCAAGTGTAGGACAGAACTTTATTTCTTTACTGGACAATTTGCTGCATTATGTACTGACTCAGAGACGGAAGTCGATAAGTGTTTTGTTTGTTTAATGCTCGCGCCTCTCTACCCATGCATCTCCCGGTTCCTCCCCTCAACATTCAGACTGTTAACATTTGCCTCAGCTGACAACCAGACAGAAAATCTATCTCTCCACTTTGTCAGCCCCCACACTCTCAACAGATGAAAGTGCATAAGAGTTTCTGTGTAGCGGCAGAATCTGCAGTGATGCTGGTGAATGGGTGTGACCTTGCATGGTTTTATTTCTGTCTCGCTCACCTTTGACCTCTATCGAGCTCTCATATTCTTTGGTTCCTTCAGGCAGAATGTCAATATCGGCTGTCCCGCAGCTGTTTATTTCCACATTACTTTGTCCACATCCTCTGGCTCTACCTGTGTCCTGCACTGCAATTTTTGTGTCCTGGCCTCATATTACCATTGATGTTTTCCTTCCACGGATGTATAATAGTGTCTTACCCAATGACCTCCTCTCCTTTTCGCAGATCATCGCGCCCGGCGGAAGAGCATAGCCACCGGGAAGCAGCCCAGCATGGAGGTCCCTCCCACTGCCCCCCTTCAACCCTTCCGACAATCCGTGAGTAACCCCCACTGTTCCCGGCCTCGCTCGCTGCCTCCATCCCTCTCGCTGTCCCTCCTCCCTCCTCCCGCCCTGGGTCCACCGCACACCTGTGGCCGTCGGGCCAGCGGCACCCCGCCTCACCCTTACCCTCTCTCCCTGGCCGTCTCCCCCTCCCTCGCCTTTTGCCAGCAGCAGCCGCAGCAGCAAAAGGGCTTCAAGAAAGGTTCCGGCACGCCCCCCTTGCCCCGCTCGCTGCCCCTCTCCCCCTCCCTGTCCTTCACCCTGCCTCACTCGCCTGCCGCCTCCTCCTCCTCCCCCCCTTCTTGTACTGGGGCGGAGACTGGAGGGCTGCCGGTTCGAGTCCAGTGGCGGGAGGAGCATATATTGCACCACTGCCCCCTGTTGAGGTATGTGACACAAACATGGCTGAAGCAGAGACACTGGCTATTTTTGCATGCTACACCGACACTCATACAGGCGGCTTTTGGCCCGACAGCTAGGAATGTGCATGAAAGAAACACGTTCACACAATCAGGCTGCTGTTATTGTTAGCAGGCGCACATTTAAAAGCTTAACACCAGTTTGTTTAAAAGCTTTTAACTAAGTATTTTGAAATTGAAGGTATATATTTTGTCTAATGTTATATTTATATTCACATCATTCCAGATGGGCATTATTCTCCATTCTTATTGCAAAAATATGAAAATCAATTGTCTGACTAATGCTTTAATGGACCTATTCATCAGCATTAATGTTTGTCAAAGTTACTTCATCGTTGTGCGGTAATAGAGATTAGCCTAAGTACAGATCAGATTTTAAAAGACATGCACAGCAATTTGTTAATTTGTTTGTTTGCATGAGCATTATTAAGGATATAAAACAATTGAATTTCATGAATATTTTACAGGGCATGAGACAAGCCTCCCCAGCAGGAAAAAAAACTGCTGGATGATAAATGGATGAAAATATACAAAAAAAGAAGGCAATACAAAAAAAATAAGAAAATGAATCATGTTTCTAATAATCATTCTAAATGAGTTATTTCATTTTTAGCATTACATTTATGTTTAATCTGTTTGTGCTTTTATAATGGCTTCTGTTATTTTATGTGGGCTTTTAAGTTCTTTGTTTATCTTTAGAAAAACTGAGAGGAATGCATTTAAATTCCAGATTGCATTCGACCTACAAAGGCAGTTCACAAAACTAAAACTGTTATTAATTAGTAAACCTTAAATGAATAAATCCAGAAACTGCAGCAGGCAAAGGCCAAGGAGATCAAGGAGAAGAGAATGCTTTTTAAATACTTTTAAAAAGCTAGATTGCAATAAAATACACTACTCAGTCTAAATGTCATCTGTACCAAGGGTCTGAGACTATATCCACTAATAAGAAGAAAATGCTCTGGTTTTTCAAAGAGCTGAAACATTGCAAATGTGATATAAAGTAAATGTGACTCGTAGTAAATAGGCTAAAATGCACCAGATGCCTGCTATGATTCATTAAAGTCAAATGAAGATGAGCAGCATAAAAAGGTTGTGTCACTATTATTTCTGGGATCATCGTGACTCTTTTTAAACCAGACACGATGTCTGTCAGAGAAGAAGCGGGCAGCTGACACACGAAACATTTTGTGTCTGCGGGCACAAATAATCTGTTTTTGTTTCATTAATGGCAACAGAAACTCAATCACAAGGTATCAAATGTTAACGCGAAGGGGCTTAGAGGATTGACTGGTGTCTTATTAAGTTTGTGCCAGCAGTCTATGTTGCCCATCTCCTTTTCCATTATTTCTGCTGGTGTTTGCACACCGTTACTGTAGCTGGGAACGGCAGGATGTGTTTTCCTCCCATCACAGGAAACTATTTGCTGCCCATTCACTGCTGCAGTATGAAAAATAGCCGCCACTGACTTGGAAATTGCAGAAGCAAGATAGTCCATTACAGGAAATGTAAAGGCTCAGTTGGGCTTGATCAGAGTTTTTTTCTATTTCATCATTTTTTTCATAGTGGCTGAGATGAGTGTTTGTTGTATCAATATTTCATCCTGTGTGATGTGATAAGCAGTCCTGAGGGACAGGATAAATGCCATATTGGAAACACAAGATTCAAACAAAACTTTTCAGCAGTGACAAAAAAGGTCATTCTGATTTTTAACTCACACTTTGTTTAATGCAAGTCACTTGAAACCTGGAGGGAAAAAAATCATTATTGCAGTTAAATCTAGCAGAACTGTTACTGTATCCTTTAAAAATAGGCACAAATTCTTATCAGTACAAATTCTGCTCATCAGAAGTGCAGCCAAGCACGTGACAGTCTCTCCTGAACCATCAAATCCTGAACCTTTTTACTGTCACATTTAAACACACTGGTTAAGCATATTTAACTCAAGCCACATTTTTTTCCTAAACACTAATAACCAGCATCTGAAAGTGAAAGTAAAAAGCAAGTAAATCGAGTTGCAAATGGGACACAAGCCACAACCCTCTTCTGTTGTTCCACCACCACTCCAGCTTTCCGGCTTCCCCTCCAAACTTTGTTCCTCTTTAGAAGAGGATCATTACCTCTCAGCATCTACAATTACCCTGACCATCATGTCAAGGCACAGATGCCATGGGAGACCTTGTGTGCATCTCTGTGAAGCCAGCAGCATGTGACAGAATGGCAGTATAAGAATGCTTTCCCACGGCAACGTCTTACCTAAGGCAAAACATACTTAGCCTGGGGACAAGTGCCTGCTTAACAGATAATTCCAGTTTAGTTCAGTCTGTCTTGTTCTCTCTAAATGCTGCTGTGTTCCATGACTCCGTGGGTCATGCTGACTTTGAACTTGCCACATCTGTTCTGGAGATGCAGAAAATGTGGACTTATTACATTTATTGTTGCACAGGAAACTAACAAAACCGATAAATTGGGTAATTTAATATAATTTAGCATCAATCATCCCCAAGCTGTAACAAGTGTAAAATAGCATTAACGCTAAAGTAAGCATCAGAATAAATCTCCTGCTAAGACATCAGTCGCCATTTTGAGCATATTGTTCAACTCAGACAGAATTCCATTTCATGTTTGACAATTAGTGTTTTAAAAAATTAATAACTAATTACACACAGCTATTAAACATGCGCAGCATCAAATGAGCTGGAACACTAAACGACACCAGTAACCTGGAATGAACCCAAAGCTGAGCCAGTAACAAAGTGCAGAACAGCAAACACAGCCACAGAAGCTAAAGCGCAGGCCTCCTCTTAGCTTTCTTTATTGTGCTTTATTGTGCTTTCGGGATTTTCTCTCACTCTTTGAATTAAAGACTTTCTACTTTTTGAGACTTAACGTGTCAGACGGAGCGGCTAATCAAATCAGATTTAGTCATGCAGACTATTAGGTTGGAACCAGCAGATGGAGCCAAGTTTTTAGTCACATCCTCAAGACAGGCTTCAAAGCCATATGACTCATGCCACATGACAAGGTGTCATTTCTCCCGCTGAGTAATGTCGTTATGCTGTAGGTATAGAAATGATAGCACTTCAGGATGCACCTAAAAGCTGAATGGGCAAAGCGTCTTCAGGGGACAGTGGAAGAAAAAGCATGTAATGATATTTCATGCATATTTGGGGACATTTAAATTTACTATTACAGGAATGAGTGTAACGTTAACATCTGAGGTCTGCAAACACAGGGTGTGAAATCAGGAAGTCTACAAATGTTTTAAAAAGTGATATAATCGTCCAAGGGGACTTCATTCACTAGCTTGTTTGCATTACTAACAGTCTCGACCAAAAACAGTTTATTTACAATATATGGTTTAAAAACAGAGAAAACATATATTTTATTTTCAAAAGGTTTGAAACAGATTATTAATTGTAAAATGATTTTGCTGTTAGTTCTATGATGTCTTCATTTTCATTTTCTTTAAGCTTAAGTAAAGTCCCATCTTTTTTTAGTTCTATGACCATCACATTGACAGGAAACTGCACACTCACACTCCTTGTAGACGAGATTCTGATCCTGGGTTCAGTATGCAGTTTGTTGATACAAAATCTGGTGGGTGGTGGTTTTTAAGTGTTATGCTGATATACAAAAAATGGAACCACTTCCAGCCAGAAAGACAAAAAATAATTGTAAATGAAATGTAAAATATGTACCGAACACTTATCAATGAACAATTCCTCGTTCCAGTTCTCTGATATTTGATTGTATCGTGCCAGGAAGCTCATTTAGGACAAACTGTGAGACTCTGCTGTTCTTATGGACTGAATGGTTCACCACTGCCCACCACAGGATCTGTTACAACATTGCAATTTTCTGTAGCAAGTTGATTCCTCGTTGATAATAAATGTACCTTGTGCTCTCCCCATCATGCATCGTGTCTTTCATTTGTGTTTGTCTCTCGATTTGATTTTGCCGTCACACAAATACATCTGTTATAAACCATGCTGACATGACGGAAATCATCTGCATTCATACCATACTTTCCTGTCCTATCCAACCACATCGACCTCTCATCACCGCTCAATCTCTCATCTTTTCTGATTCACGGCAACCACTTCTTTGTCTCTGTAACTTCGCGCCACACACTTCCTCCTCCCTCTCCCACTCCATCTGTCTGCCTTCGTCGTCGCTCTCCTCCTCCGCCACGCTCCAGAGTTTCCTCAGTAGAAGGTTGAAGGGCTCAATCAAGAGGGCCAAGAGTCAGCCCAAACTGGACCGAACTAGCAGTTTCCGCCACATGATCCTCCCCCGCTTCCGCAGTGCTGACCAAGACAGGTTAGTGAGTCAGCGTGTGTGAGCGTTTTCATGCGATGTTTGTGGACTGACAGGCTGTGTTTGGTCCTGCATTTTGCTGTTGCATTTACAGATGCATGAATTCTGTTTGTCTTTTTGGATGCCATCATGACATCACTATTTGTTTTTGTATCTACTTTTACATAATCAGTGATAGCACAGTTAGTGACCATGTTGCACACTGACTGAGAGTCTCTGTCAGTCTGGCAAAAATGCACATTAGATTTTGGCTTAGAAAGGACGTGTGTTTACTAGAATCTCAAGATATATCATCTTAAATGCAAGATTATAGCATATTATTCTTTGGAAAATGTTGAGCACTGCATCTGTAGATCTGTCTCATCGTGCCTCTCAAACTGCCACAGAGAGAAAATATCAACTTGTGTGTCAAACTGAGCTTTCATGTCGACTGGTGACAAGATCTTAGTCTCTGGATGGTTGTGACTGATGAAAAAAGCTGTTCCAGAAGTACATTCTTACTAATAGCCAGCAGTGGGTGTCTCCTGTGGTTGCAAAAAGGTCTGGTTGTGTAGAAATCAAAGGGAAATGGCCCCTTTTGGTTCTGTGATCTTTGAAAAAGATGGGAAAAGCATGGTAAGTTTTAGGGCAGGGCTACCTTGTTATTGTCAAGTCACTACTGTATGAGTGTGCTACATCCCTCAGTTTCAGTCAAAACAGCAGTACTGAGTGGACCAGTCTGCAGTGTCCTAGCCTGAAGGCAGTGCATCAAAACCAAGTCTGCTTGTCAGTTTTCTTTTCAGCATTCATGAGGTTGTATCATGACGTTGTATCATGAGGTTGTATACCCTAAATGTTGCCACCATACCCAGTTTGTCAGCTCATAGTTCTGTTGTGACATCCTGAAGCTGCGGACAGAGAGCATTTGCTGCTAACGACTCACACAGGGTTTTTTGAAAACCTTTTTTAAACCATACAGCACAAAAGTCTCATCACACATCCGTGCTATACTTCACTCTCTGCTGCTTAATCCCCTAAAATAAATTCAATTTAAAGGGTCAGTGTTTTGGCTTACCAGAGCAGATCCAGTTGCTCAAAAGTTATTGGGTCTCTGTGGTTCCAAGGAGCGCTCTAGAAATAGGAGCCTGGTGTGAAAGCAATGCCACCTCTACCCACAGAGATGGCCTAGAAGGGGAGATTTTATTTATTTATTTATTTATTTATTAGGGTCTATCTATATCAGCATGCTTCCATGGATTTCTATCTTTATCGTCTTTTATCTCATCTTTTGATTCTTTTCCATCTTGTCATCTCTTCCTCTATTAATCTTTTTATCTATCACTATCAGTAGCTCAGTCTCTGGCTTTCTATCTGTATCTTGGCATCAGCTTTCTCTGTGTATGGCCTAATCTCCGTCTCTGTAATCCTTTATATGTCTATCACAGTCCTAAGTTTATTTTACTCTCTCACTGCATTGTCGCTTGCACTCAGCACTCACTATTTCTCTGCTGAGCCGATGAAAAAACATCCCCCGCTTCACCATAGCAACCAGCAGACAGCCATATGGCGGCTGTACAGACCATAATGAGTCAGTGGGAGATTTGCTTAATTATACCTCCTCTGTATCATCTACATAGTTGCAGCAGTGCTGGAATTCTTCAGACACAGTAACACAGGAGTTGCATGACCGATGTTCGAGTGCAAAAATCTTCAGATTTTTTTAGTTTGTCAAATATGAGAAACATAAATGAGGAACTGTGCAAGGTTTTGAGCCTAATTTCAAGCAGCCTATAAACAGCAAGGATCCAAAGCATTTAGCTAAGGGCTGCAACCTATTTCTGTATTTTCATTAATGATAACTGCTGATAATTTCGTAGATTAAGCTCTGCGTTCTTCTCGGAGATGTCTAAAGTCCACTGTGACAGACATCTTCTAGCTTGTTTTGTCCAAAAGCAAAACAATATCCGAAAAACATTTCAGTGCAAACATAAAATGGAGACAAGCAGCATTTTTTTTAACTGAAAAGCCTGATGTGCGCAACTGAGTTGAGCAAAAATACTGTTCAGTATTCAGCAGGAACTATTCGAATGTTCTCAAAGATTACACCCAGGACTCACCCTCCTCTCTTTTCTAGCAGCTGTGAATTTCATTGTCACATTTCTCCAGTTCTTGCTTACAGTATCATCTCCTCTTACTGTGCTGCAAGTTTTTAAAAACCAGCATCTGGTAGTTTGTCAAGTGTTCCTCTGTTTTACATGTTTTTAAACTCCCCGTTTCATTAATGCCACCTTCTGGCAGTATTTAGTATCATTATCTAGTACCTGCCATCAATTAAAACAAGAGAAAATGCATCTAAAAAACCATTTGATTTTAATTATAACAGACTCTTTGAATATTTAAAATCCATCCCCAGTGAACAGTAAATCAAAATACTTACAGAAAACGAATGACCATCTATGAACTGACTGATTCAGCATTCATTTGGTCCATTCACTTTTTCTGTATTCTTCCACTGGACAGTTAGACCCAGGGCAAACTTAAACTTCAAATGTGAAGGTCAGTTGTATAATCCAAACAGAGGGCAAAAGCACACTCAGGAGAGTGCTAACACCTTTGCAGAGCCAGGTGTCTGCCAAGGTGTGTTTCCACATGATTTATTCATTTGGGAAGCTTGTGGATGTCTATTATCCTCGGCTGACTTGAGAAGACTGAACGGACAAAAAGTCAAGAGCGATGTGAAGTCGTGGTTGTTTGCCAAGGCCCTCGTGGCTGATCCATCGTCTTTCACAGCTCCTGGTTTGCTCTGAGTGTTTTCTGTCAGGGGTGCTGGTGAACATCTGCAGCTTTGTTCATTTGTATTCCTTTTTTTTTTTTTACGTTTGTTTATCCAGGGAGGGCTTGCCTTTTTTTTCAGCATGGATTAGATTTCATGCAGGCATAAATATGCATCTGAGCTCCCAAACAGGCTCTAAAAGCTGCAACGATGCACATATTTGCACATAATTTTTGTATTCTTCCCATTAATAAGCCAAACTTAACAGATCTTTCAGTCCATTCAGATTTTTCAGCATAAGTACCCCATAGGATTACTCTGTGTAGTCGCAGAGGGTACTCTGTCTTGCAGAAAAATAACGTTGTTTTTTTTTTGTTTGTTTGTTTGTTTTTCTTAAAGCTGTTTAATATATTTGAGGTTTCAAATTGTGGAAGTCTTCATCATTAGCGTATCTTTAGCCTAAATAATGTAATGAGATAGTTTTTTTTGACTGCCAAAGAATTATAAAGACAAATCTATTCAACATCAAAAACAGGAAACAGAAAAGAAGTCTTTGCACTACCGAAGCCACACCCTGTAAACTTTTTTATTAGTAATATTCATGATGTAGCACAAGGGATGTCTCTTTGTTTCACACTAGAATATCGCAGTTCTTAAATAGCATGACATTTTATCTCAAACATTATACCTCCCAATGATTTAATCTAATATCTTTGGAGACATGCTGCCTTTTTCTGTAGAACCATCATTAAGTTCTCTGTTAAGATGCAATAGACGCTGACATGACCCCACATTACTTGTGCCAACATCTACCCTAAATGTTTTCAGAATTGTCTGTACATATATGCATGTAGATGCTCCTCTGGGGTGGGTGCTGGTCTGACTGTGGATTCTGATCCAGCCCTGCATAAAATACAAGGATTTTCTTTCAGTTTAAGTTTTAATGAAAGAAATGCTTCTAGAAAAGGACAAACACTTCTGTTGAAAGGTTGTTTTACAGTTTTTACCTATTACTGCATTTACTTAAGTACTTATTTATTACATATATATCAGGAGTGAGAAGCAAAATGTGCAATAACTGGTAAGTTTGTAGCTGATTTTGTAGTTGCAGTAGCATTAAGTGTTGTAAACCCTTGTCCAGACTCACCTATTTTTGTGTTTAAGCATGGACATCAGCACTGAGGAGAAGCAGTTACATGGCTCATCTGTAGCTTTAAGTTCAAATCAAAACTTGGCAGGACTGGACAGCAACATTTACAAAAATTATGAGAGCAGTCCTTTCAGTTTTTACTGTTTACACTATTTTTTTTTATAGTAGAACATCACAAAAAGCAGCTGCAGAGTAGTAGAACATTTTTTAACATAATATTACTGGACTGTTGTGATTACAGTCAACACAAGATAAGTGTTGTGTTATGAAAATTTGCATTTTTAAACTTAAACAAGAATAAATGCAGTTGTAGCATATGTAACAAGCCAAAAATCCACAGAATATCTGTGCAAACTTCACTGAGTTATGACTATATTTAATTGGCAAGTGCATAGAGTTACACACATTAGAAGACCCAGTAAAAATATGGCAGTTGCAATATGCTGATGCATCTTTAAATAGCAGTAATCAATGAAGCATCTAGTGTATGTCTATATAATGTCTGTAAAGAAGCACTTCTCTTTAGAATACTTGCCTTCCTGCTCTTAAGAATTAGAAAAATAAACCAATAAATACATATTAAATGTTGTTTCATAGAAATGGGAGGCTTACCTGGAAGAAAGAAGAGAGCCGTTGCTTAGGCTTAAGTTTTATTGCTAATAAGTAATTATGAGTCAAACAACCCAGTTTGACTATTAGCCTTCAGTTTGTATTTTGCCAGTGTTTGTCTAACCTTATTGATCAACAATCATTTTGTTTCAGTTTAATAAAAGACAAAAGCAGCAAATTCAGTGAAATGGGTCTTGAGCTTAATTAGTATTTGAAATTGAAAAGTGGCTTCAGTTCAGTTGCTTTTCTTTGCAAAGTGGTTGTTGTCAGGTTTGTTCTCTTTTAGATCACTACAGCAAAGCTCAGCTCACCTTCCCAATGTCAGTATCCTTGTTCCTAGTCTTTAATCCCTGAGTTTTTTTTTCCAGGTGTGTAGTTCATCAGTTGTGATGCACTGACTATTTGCAAGGTGTCTGCATGCATGTGTGTGTGTGTGTTTCGTCTTTTATGTCTGTCCACTGAGACCTTGCATAGACCTCCTTTTTACCTCCATCACTCCTCCTCTCATCTCAATCCCTTCATCCATCCCGACCCTTGCGCTTCCTCCTTTCCCTTTCTCTTTCATTCCTCTAATCCATACTCTCACTTTCTTCCTCTCCAAAGGATCCACTGTTTACATAATCAGCATGATTTCCACTGAGAGGTCTTCTCCCTCCATCCCTGAGGCCTCAGCCCTTTCTCTCTCAGTCTTTCCTTCTCTCACATCCTCTCCTGACCTCCCCCACTCTTTCTCTCGTCTCTTCCATGGTACCCTCAATCTGACTCATTCCTTTGGGTCTATTTTTATCTCTCCCTCACTCTCTATGTTTCTCTCCCCCTCAGTCCCGTACATGCAATCACTGCTCTGTTGTGGAACGTTATGATTGAACATAGACAAAAACAGTTTGAGCCCAAACAGGGGAGAAGCCAAGAACCGGACACAGAGCGCAGGATATACAGCTTCTTTTCTATCTTTCCTTTTTCCTAATCTACCGTCCCCCTTTCTTCTCTGAAGGGCTTCATCACACCTGACCATCTGTCCTGGCTATCTGGTTAGACTCACTGTGCCATCGTGTGTTTGTTTCAGTGGCTGTGTGGCTGTTTCCTGAGTTGGTCTATGATTTTACCTGCTTCTCTACATGTGTGTGTGGGTGGGAGTAGGTGATGATGAATGGGCTTTAGCACAGACCTCCTTTGCTTGTTAGTGTGGGCTGTGAGCACAGGTGTGTCAGGATTAATGATTTATTAAGAATTGTTTAATTGGTTATTTAAAATGTTTCGGATAAATGCCATAAATGCAGCTGTAAAGAAAACCGTGTTAATACTGTGTGTGCTGCATTTTACCACAGCTTCTTAAATCAGATATAGACATTTAAACTTGGTCGTGTGTAGTTGCAAAAGTCTTGAGTCACCCCTTATATCTTGCTGAAATACGCAAGCTTTTAAATTATTACCTTTTTGGTGCAAAAATACAGTTTTATTCCTGTCAAACTGTGTTGGCATCTTTTAGAGGCTCAACTAAAGAAATGGTAAATGGCCTGTATTTGTATGGCTTTACACTACATTCAGTCATTCACACACTGGTGATGGCAGCTACATTGTAGCCACAGCTGCCCTGGGGCGCACTGACAGAGGCGAGGCTGTCGGACACTGGCGCCACCGGGCCCTCTGACCACCACCAGTAGGCAACAGGTGAAGTGTCTTGCCCAAGGACACGATGACAGAGACTGTCCGAGCCGGGGCTCGAACCGGCAACCTTCCGATTACAAGACAAACTGCCAACTCTTGGGAACCGATTATGTCCTTTTGAGACAGGCTGATAGTAACAAAGTGCCTAAATAAATAATTTAAAATTGTTGTTTTTTTGCTAGGTTAGCTGTTATGTGTAGGTGCCACAGTAGATCAGTGTTGAGAGGCGTATCAAAATATATCCTATTCTTATAATTATGCTGTGTAAGAAAATGTTAAAGTGGCCACCTGTATATGTAAACCATAGCATGATGATATATATTTGATATATATTTGTAAATGATCTGCTGATAAGCAGTTGGGTGGGGCTGGTGCCTGTCCCAGCTATTAGTGGGGCAGAGGTGGGGTACATACCTGTCATAGGGCTAGCACACAAATGGGCTCGCTCAGAAGGTAGAGCAGGTCCCCTACTAATCCCTGTCTGCTCCAGTCTCTGATGCATCCATCAGAATATGAATGTTAGACAGGAAGCACTTACATAGAATAAGTAATGTATGAATGGGAGAATGAGGCAAGTTGTACAAAAATGCTTTGGGTACTCAGTTATCTAACCAGCCTATCAGTAACCTGGCAAACATATATATGGGAGGAGGTTTAGAGAGAACCCACCCAGGTACAGGGAGACAATGCAAACTCCACACAGGAGGACCCCAGCTAGCCAGGACCACAGAAAAGGAGACCTTTCTGTGTGGAGTTTTCATGTTTGCATGGCTTCTTTTGGGGTACCCTGATTTCCTTCCACATACCAAGGACGTGTTAGGTTAATTTGTGATTCTAAATTGGCCACAGATGAGCGTGAATGATTGTCTGTCTCTGTGTCATAGCCTTGCAACAGGCTGATGACCTGTACATGGTGTGCGCCATCTCTCGTCCAATCACAGCTGGGATAAGCCCCAGTCCCCCTGTGACCCTGATAAATGATTAAGAGAATGGATGAATGTGTTGATAAGCTGCTTATTACCAAAATTATCAGTATGTTGTGCAGCACTCGTTTGGCTGTTTTTCAGTATGCAAGATAAAGATGAAAATGTGAAGCAACACATTTGGAGAATTAGCATACAAGAAGAAATCACCTGTAGTTTCTTGAATACTGAAGTCTAAGCGACCTTTAATAAAAGAGCCTCCTCACTCTCCTCACTCTCACGACTCTCGCTCTCCCAGGACCCGTTTGATGCAGAGCTTCAAAGAGTCCCACTCCCATGAGTCCCTGCTTTCTCCCAGCAGTGCCGCTGAGGCCCTGGACCTCACTCTGGACGAGGACGCTATCATCAAACCTGTGCACTCGAGCATCCTGGGACAGGAGTACTGCTTTGAGGTGAGAACTGAGCTGCTCAGCGGAGAGCCCACGGCACACTCGCACACAACCACAGAGTGTACAGAGCAGTAAATGACACTAAAACTGTTGTTTCCACCCTGACAAGTGAAAGTGATGTGCAATGCAAATAGGATTGCTTTTTTTCTTTTCTTTTTAAATGTGAAAATGAAAATAAGGACATTTAAATGAGCCTAAGTCCTCTCAGCTTTTCCATCACCTGTTCATTAGTGGAACATGACAGAGGTTGAGAGTGAATACAAGTCATTATTTTGGCGCTTTAGTTGCAGTCTCCATAGTGACTAATGGCTGTGGTTGTTGAATTTACCATTGGCTAACCTCAGGTGACTACGGCATCGGGAACCAAGTGCTTTGCGTGTCGCTCAGCTGCAGAGAGAGACAAATGGATCGAGAACCTGCAGAGAGCTGTCAAGCCCAACAAGGTGAGGGGAGAGAAAGGGATGCGGTAGAGGAAGAAAAAAGGATGATCCCTCTGTCTGTGTGTCTCTCTCTCTCCTCCCCGTCTCCCGTTGTTGTGTGTTTTCAATAAGAGCGCACCGCTTCATTTCTCTGTGTGAACTCCATCCTCGTGTCTGTGTGTGTCTGTGTTGAACAATTTAGTGGCTTCTACAAGCAAAATATTAAAGCTGCACAAGGTAATGTCGATGGTGGGAGGACCCAAAATGCTGTTTTGAAAAACCACAAATCAGGTAATGTGATAAGTAAATTGAACACAGCGGGTTGATGTTTACCTGCACAGCATGTCTGTGATACTTTGATAGGGAAGTAAAAGATTTAACACTCGTGAGTCTAGGTCTTTTATTGTTGCTCTCTACAGACAATGGGCCTCATGCAAGAACCACAAGACAATTTGTGGCAGTAAAAATCTATGGGTAGTTTTTCTCAAGTGGTCCAGACTTGTTGTCAGAGCAAACCCCACTTGTTGGACCTGAAATCGGATTGTCTAATCATAAAATTATCATAAGTAAGACAGGCAACTTTCCCAAATTAATATTTGATTAAGACTATATCATTATTGCATCTATGGAGAACGTTGTCTGCCTTTATTTTCCTTTGGAAAATATAAGCAGTGCAGGCAGACTTGCTAGTAAAAGTCAATTTTCGGGGCACTGGTCATGCTTAGTTGCTACAATGGATGGGGCCTCATATTTTACTGTGGATGCTGCACTTTATCTATCTCCTCCTGATCTCAAAACATGCATTAACCACTACAGGACTGATTATGCTAATAATCATTTATTTTGTGAACCTGAAAAATTCAATTTAACTTTTATTTATATAGTGTCAAATCACAACAACAAGGCACTCTATATTGTAAGGTAAAACCCCCCAACAATCAAATGACCCCCTATGAGCAAGCACTTGGCAACAGTGGGAATGAAAAACGTCCCTTTAAAAGGAAGAAACGTCCAGCAGAACTAGGCTCAGGGAGGAGCAGCCGTCTGTAAAGGAGGAAGACAGGACAACAGACACATTTATGAGGTTAAATCAAGCAATTTAATTAAATGCATGATGTTGTTTTAACATGAGGTTCATTTTCCATGTGCTTGTATCTGACACCAGTTTTTGCAGATGATATACTTGTATTTTTTAAACACTACAAGATGGTGTATTTTCATATGGAAAGTCGTTTCCAGTGTCGCTTTAAGGTACTATAATGTTATTTGCGTCTTCACATCTTAAAAAAGACTTATCGCCCTTCATGCTCGCTCCATATATAATTAATATCCTAATTTTAATCCAAATTCCATCGTAAAGTAAAACTCTCCCTAAATTTTTCCCCTCAGTGTTGTTAAAAGTGAGCAGACATGTGAGATACGCAGCTTAGATGGCAACCAGAGACTAAAGGGTTATTAAGCGAGACTGAGATGAAACATCACCAGAGTTGAACGCCTCGTCCAGATGCTGCGGCCGCAGGGGTCCTGGATGAGTCACGGAGCTCCAAGGACTCCAAACAGGCGCTTTCTCCAAAATCTCTCCTCCTACTCCCCCAAAACAACACGCACTCTTCTTCTCAGACCAGATGCACCATAAGCGATAAGACTAACTGCAGAGAGAAGGATTATCATTATTCTTTGTAATTTTCTAGAGTCTTTTAATTCCTTTTTTTGCCCGTGATTGCTCGGTTTTCAGGAAAAAAGTATTTATTACACCTTAATTTAACATTCCACTAGTCTTTTGGTAATACAATTGAAATATACTGGCAAAAGGGAATGTGTAACATAATATCAAGGTGGAGGACTTGAGCGCATGCTGGCTCTGCTGCACTGTATGTGCACTAGCAAACTGAGCCACCAGATGCCCAGCACATTCAAACTCAGAGGTCTGGAATTAATTATGCCTTGTGTTTGGCGCTGGTTATCAAAGAGCATACAAATGGAGACGTTAGAGCTGTTGATCTTGATGATGCTCACGTATTTGGCCGTCTAAATTAGGACTTAAATAGTCTGAAGCAAACAGGGGGGCCATCAACAGTGGCATTTGAGCCCAATTGAAATGACTCCCAGTTACTGAAACATTCTGTAATCAACAGAGCACTCTCTCCTCCCATGGGGGATGTCAAATATAGCTGGGCTTTGTGATCATGATTAGGGAATGTAGCAGTCCATAGGAGCATTTTTAGTCCATTGTGTTTGCAGCACATGTGTATTGTGTCATTTGTGTTTTTTCTATGTCTAAGGGGATTACTTTGTTTTATCCATAAAAAGAATCATTCTTCATTATTTTCTGTTCTCTTTCTCTTGTGTGTTTCTCATGCTGTTTTCTGTCTCTGTATCCAAGATGAGAGTTGAGAGCAATTTATCAAGTACAACCCACTATCATAGTAGCCAAACCGCCATGTCACCAGACATTTATTTCCTGTCATTTACTCTTTTCTCCTGCAGGCTGACCTGCTGTCGCCTTTTATTTGCACACACTCTCTCTGCTTCCACGTCTTTTTTTCTTTGCCGTCTGTCATGTTTCCTCCTGCATTGTATCATCTTGTCTTTGTAAAGCTTTTAAATGTTTTATCAGACATGCTTGGCCTTGCTTGACCTGACTTTCTCTCCACACAGGACAACAGCCGGAGGGTGGACAATGTGCTCAAACTGTGGATCATAGAGGCCCGCGAGCTTCCAGCAAAGAAACGATACTACTGCGAACTATGTTTGGACGACATGCTGTATGCACGCACCACCAGCAAGCCCCGCACCGACACCGTTTTCTGGGGCGAGCACTTTGAATTCAACAACCTGCCAGCTGTCCGCAACCTACGCCTTCATCTATACAAGGAGACAGACAAGAAGAGACGCAAGGTGACACAGAGAACTGTAGGGTAGCATAAAGGTCTGAAAATGAGTCATTTATATTAACTTAAAGTTGTTGAAACGAATACAATTGAAATATCCTAAAGTTGAATTTTATCGACTTATTTTTTTATTTTCTTATTATCACATCTACATCAACAACATTAATTATACTAGCTTTATTTATATAACATCATTAATAACAAAGCAAAGCAAAATCAGGATAAACTAAATGCAATAGTTATAACAGCAACAAGACAAAACAGGAAACAGAAATGCAAATGCAAAATGTCAATATAGATACTAATAAAAGAATAAAAGTCCTGAAAAGATACCAAATAAGACAAGTGAGGCAAAAAAAAACAACAACAAACAAACAAAACAAAGGATAAATAATACTAAAAATATAAATAAAATAGATCGCATAAAGTGAAATCTGCAAGCCAGTGTTGTAGGACACAATTTAAAGGATTTCCCTGATTGTCTGAGCCGTACTTACTCAGCCAGGTTGTTCTAAAGTCAAAGAATCCCGACAGTCGCCTTTAGATTTCAGCCTCGACTTTGGAACAGCTTGAAGGACCTACCTGAGGATCTAAGGCTATGAACTAGTTCAAATTGGGCCAACTGTTTTGCTGCATAGCTTGCGGCCGCAGATGTGCTTTAATTGTGATCAGTAAATTCTTAAAATCAGTTGCAAAATGCACAAGAAGCCAGTGGAGAGAAGCCAGGACCGTGTAACCAGTAGGGAACTTTCTGAGCTAGTTTCAGGGCAGAGTGACTTTTCATGTATGCCCCAAAAGAGGGAGATGAAGTAGTCCAGCCATGAGAAAATAAATGCATGAATTGTGTGAGAGCATTGGTTTTATTTTTGAGATGCAGACAGATCTGAACAGCTGCTCTCGATGTGTGCGTCAAAGCTGAATCAAATGGTATTTCCAAATGTCTGTTAGTGGGCTTTACAATGGAAGGTTTGTAGGACTGAGATGTCATGTTATTTATGGAGCAGTCAGTGCTACAGAGGTGAAACTGAAAAAGCAACTATGCTTTTAGGGTCAAGAGGTCTCCAGCAAGGTATATCTGTGTATCTGCTGCACAGTACTAAGAGCTGGTAGAAGCATATGATAGAAAATATAGCAGGACCTAAAACTGAACCTTGGGGTATACCACAGGTAAAGAGGTAATCACCTGTGGTGACAGGGTAGATTCTTACTAAAAGTGAAAACACTTCAATTTAAAAGATAAAGCAAATGCATGAGTAATACTGTGAGGTGTAACATTAGCACTTAAGAAGTAAGTGACTTAATACTGAGTCACAAAACCAGTCATTCTCATTTTCAGCTCAGTACAAGAGTAACGCTGCCACAGTAAAGCTCTAGCTTCAAACAGCACTCCGGGGATCCAGCGTTAGTCCTGCTGCTCATAATTAATTCATTGCTGAAGCTTAAAATGAACTTTTTTTTGACATTTCCGACTTTCAGATTAGTTTTCTAAAATATTTCTATGCAGAACTGAAAGAAACAATGTTTCTTTACCACAGCTAATGTTTGTTTTTGCTTTTCACGTCTAAGGAAAAGAGCACATACTTAGGACTCGTAAGCATCCCCATCTCAAGCATCACTGGACGTCAGTTTGTGGAGCAGTGGTACCCGGTCATCCAGCCCAGCGTTCTCACCAAGGGAGCTGGTGTCGGAGGAGGGAAGATCATCAATGCATCTCTACGCCTCAAATCCCGCTTTCAGACCATGAACATCCTGCCCATGGAGCTGTATAAGGAGTTTGCAGAGTATGTCACTAATAACTACCGCACCCTGTGTGCTGTGCTGGAGCCTGTGCTGAGTGTCAAGAGCAAAGAGGAAGTGGCCTGTGCTCTGGTGCATATACTTCAGAGCACAGGGAAAGCTAAGGTATGAGATCACTGAGTCCTCTACTTGACAAACACTATTTTAGGAGGAAAATAGTAACTCGGTTCCCCTTTTCTCCAGGATTTTCTATCGGACATGGCAATGTGTGAGGTAGACAGATTCATCGACCGAGAACACCTTATCTTCAGAGAGAACACTCTGGCCACCAAAGCCATAGAAGAGTACCTCAAACTGATTGGACATAAGTACCTCAAGGATGCTATAGGTGAGTCGGAGCGTTTGCAGTGTTTGACTTAGTCGCTCCTGTGTTCAAACCAATTTAAAATTCAGCAGATCAACTTTTGAAAGTTGGGAAATAGCCAAACTTTTAATTAAAGGGGGGGAAAAATCCTACTTAAGAGACCCAACTTTCTCTCAGCATGCCTTAGTGTTTTTGCATGCAGAAGATAGTTTGGTTGGGTGTGGGGAATTTTATTATTTTCAACTTTTTCGTGGTACTCAAACTTGTGTCTTTTTTGCACTGCTGTGTGGAGTTTGATGATATATTGAATTATGTGATTATCCGAGCTCAGCACAAGTCTGTGAGATCAAGAAGCAGCTCTCCTCAAAAGGCGAGAAATACGACTTCCTGAGAGGAAGCAACGAGCTCGATATGTTGTTATCGTTAGCCTGGTTTCATTAATGAATGTTTGCTTGAGTTCATATGAAATCGAGAACTTATTTAACATAATTGTATTCAGCCATCATTATTCTGGATTGTAGGATGAACATGAAGACTTCAGTGTCTTATGGACAACTTGAGCTTCATGGCAGTGGCCATTTGGTTTTTAACAGGCTAAAAGTGATCATATTTAGATAAGAGGGTGGAATAAAGTGATCAGTGTACACCAGCTGGCTTCATTATCAGGATGTACTTTGAAATAATAATAAGTAACATACAAATAAAATACTATCATTTCATTCAATAATGCTACAGACACCTTAAATGGGCAATTAATACAATAAATAACACAGTCCATCTAATATTTCATAACTTTAAGCCCTAATTAAACTTAAACTTTATCAAATTTAAAAAGGTGGGTAAAAAAACAGCATAAAATAAAAGTTAAATAAAGGTAAGCTAACTCCAAGTAAACAATGATATATAGGATAACATAAACAGTGTCACGGTCTGCGGTGGGCGGACCGTATGTGGGAATGTGAGGTTCCAGGTGCAGACACAGACGAGGAGACAGTACCGAACTTGAAACGAAAAGCGAGCCTTTATTTGGGCTGATTAACGTGGCAAACAACAGAAAACACTGAGGCAAAACTAAACTAGAAACTGAACTGGGAAAACTAAGAACTGACACTTAACTCAGACAGCAGGGAAGGCTAAGACAGGGTGACAATGATGCACATGACGGAGACAACTATGAACAGGACTGTGCTGGAACAACAAAGAACTATGAAACATATTCACATAAGCAACATGGACATGGCCAGCACAGAGTCCTGAAACCTGGTGTAACATGGGGGAAGTAGAACAGACGACGCGGCGACGAACAAAGGAAGACTGAGGACTTAAATACACACATGAGGTGATCAGGGGAAGTGGAGACACATGAGAACACAGCTGACTAGAAGGAAACATAATGACAATACAGGGGAGAGTAACAGTAACTACAACGAACAAAGAACCCCATACTCTTTCAAAATAAAACAGGAAACACAGAGACATGGAGATAGAACATCAACTTAACCTAACAAGAGACATGAAACATGACAGGTAGACACACGGACCAGGGAGAGATGACAAAAGGGACTAAGAAACCAAGGACTAAACTGCAAACTAGAAAACAACTAGATGTGTTAAACTACACATGTGGATACAAAAAATGCATTAGAACTTAAACCCTGGGCCTCATGGCCCAGTACCGTGACAAACAGTTTCTCAGTTGTTTCTCAGTAAAGTTTTCTCTTAATTTTCTAACACTGAGTGCATTTAATGCTTTGGTGTTCATAAAGGTAGTGCATAGGAGTGTAAAGGGACAGACAGTTTCTCCAGAGATTTCCAGTAAGTGCTAAGTGCTCGTAATAATAATACACAATAATACAGTGCAGTGAATTCTGCTCAGCAGTCCATTTCTGAGAATTGTTTTCTATATGCTATATTGGTATGAAAATACTTTGAGCTAAAAGTAACTACTGTTGTAATTTGCTGTTGGCCAATAAGACAGCTCCTCACCTACGACTACTTAAACAGCATAGTGTGGCAGTGTGGCAATGCTCGGTTTGTTGTCTCATAATTGATTTCTTTCATATTAATCTTGTTGTGGATGTTGTTTTCTTTATTAATAACACTGAAACTTGTTGCTAATGAAATGTCTCTTGCAGGGGAGTTCATAAGGGCCTTGTATGAGTCAGAAGAAAATTGTGAAGTTGACCCCATGAGAATACCACCCTCTGTATTACCAGACCACCAAGCCAATCTTCGAATGTGCTGTGAATTGGCACTCTGCAAGATTGTTAATTCCCATTGGTGAGTAGTTAATAATGCAAAAAAAGCAACTCCTTTACTAGACTGTGTTTATTTCTCTTCGCTATAATAAAGATAGATGAGGCTTTTAAACAGCTTCTCGGTGGAATATCTAAATGTACCTAGTTTGTCCTGAAACCTTTTATGTCGCTTTATAGTGTGTTCCCTCGAGAGCTGAAGGAAGTCTTTGCCTCCTGGCGAGTGCGCTGTGCTGAGAGGGGTCGAGAAGACATCGCTGACCGCCTCATCAGCGGTTCTCTTTTCCTGCGCTTCCTGTGTCCTGCTATCATGTCGCCATCGCTTTTCAACCTCACCCAGGAGTATCCAGATGAGCAGACATCACGCACACTCACCCTCATCGCTAAAGTAGTGCAAAACCTGGCTAACTTCTCCAAGTCAGTTTTATTTCATTTCATTCATATATTTAACTTTATGAAAATAATTCTGTTTTTTTAATCCATGTATTTAGGGAAGGAAAAAAGCTGACCATCAATGACAAAAACAAATAAATAAATGAATTTATGCGTTTAATTGTTTGATATTTCTTCTTTACAGTGCCCAAAACTATTAAAGATTTGAGCTTTAATACAAAAACAGTTGAAATTAATGACATTTATTTGAAAAAACTATTATTAAATCAAAGATTATGAGTGTAGCTACAATTTAACTCATTCACTGCCATTGACGTCTATAGCCGTCAATTGTAGTGAATGAGTCAATGGGTTTAACTCATTCACTGCCAATGGCTGGCAGTGAATGAGTTAATTTCCCTGCTAAAATATTTTTCAGTTCTTTTTCTACCACTTTCCCTGTCACACACATATGTCCTCCCCGCCCTGTTCTGTTTGTTCCCACCTGCAGGTTTGGAAGCAAAGAGGAGTACATGTGTTTCATGAATGAGTTTTTAGAAATGGAGTGGGGCTCCATGCAGCAGTTCCTCTACGAGATCTCCAACCTGGACAGTGTCAGCAATGCAGGCGCTTTTGAGGGCTACATCGACCTGGGCAGGGAGCTGTCTATACTGCACAGTCTCCTCTGGGAGGTCATGGCTCAACTCAGCAAGGTAAACACAAAGCATCATATCTGTTGTTATAAACTGCAACCATACTGGTAAAAATCAAATGATACGTCAAAAAAATCCACAGTGGGTTATTTATCGCTACAGTATCCTGAATTTAACCTACTATAGTCATCAAAGTAGTCGTTTCATATGTAATAATACTGCTGCATTCCTAATCATGCTGCTCTGGAACTGGAAAACAACATTGTGCTTTCTCACATGCAAGTGAAATAATGTCATAAAATAAGTGAAGTAAAACTAAAAACTAAACATAATTACAGTTTAAATTGAATTGCCAGAGTTCAGTTGATAACATTCTGATAACACAGTACATCGCTTACATTGTGCAGCCAGACTAAGCCGTGCTGAGATTCGATGTGTATTGTTAGGACTCGGTTTTAAAAGCTGCATCTAAAAAAAATGTCTTGTTGTTTTCTCACCTCAAATGTTTCACAAAATCAGACTCCATGTGATTACATTTCCAGTGCGTGTTGAATGAGATGGACGTACTGAAAAACACTTACATTAGATTACACAAAAATGTTTTTTAATGAATATGTAGCTAAAGTGCCATTTCTTTTTGTTTTCCCTCCAACCACAGGATGCCATCATCAAACTGGGTCCTTTGCCTCGTCTCCTGAATGACATCAGCATGGCCTTGCGTAACCCACACCTCCAGAGGCAGCCCAGCCATCAGACAGACAGAGAGCCCGGTAGACAGTCAGACAGGCTGCTGTCACGGCCCAGCTTCAACAGGGGCATCTCTTCTGAGTTCCAAAATCTCATGATGAGGGATCTTAATAGGTAGGAATTTGAGACTTTAAACAGTTTCAAACGCTGAAACCTGAGTTTTTTTCACATTGTGTCAAGAGAATAAAATCCAGAAGATGTTCTTTTTAAGTGATGCAGTTTCCCACTACTGGAAATACTTTTGCAAAGGACATCCATCATCTGACTGCATCTTACATTTGCCTTCTTGTGGTTACCATTGCCAAGTGAAGTCTAGGAAAGTTTGGGGCTGCAGTGCATATTTGAAAAAGTCTTTCAACAAATGCTTCTTTTCTCCTTGTTGTGCAGTAGTAGGTAAAAATACTACGGGAGATGTGGCTCTTTTTTCTGCACTACATTTATGTAACAGCTGGAGATTTGTTTTTGTAGCTAATTTTTTTCAATGAAAAAGCTGTGTCATTATTTAAAAATGCAGAGCGCTGCTTAAGAAAATTGGCCTTGAACCTTTTTGCATGCAGCCTTGTTTTTTCTGTCTAGTGCCACATGGCAACTTTCGGTTGCCTAGATCTCCTCGGAGAGACACCTTACTAAGGTTTCATTTAAATAACATTTTAAGCTAACAACATCCAACAAAATTTTTCCAAAAGCCTAAAATTAGAGAAAGAAAATACAGATTTTTGCAGCAGAACTTTCCCCTACCCTCTTACTCGTAATTTTAATCAGATTAATCCACTTCCGATTGTTCCACTGACTCTATAGAGGGGATTTCAGCTTTATGTTCAGAACCACTGAACTTATCTTAACACTGCATAAAACTGTGTAAAAAATAGTCGGCATGACTAGAGCAAAATTAAGATATTTAATTCATGTTTATGTAATTGTGGCAGTGTACCTATGTTCAAGGACCTTCTCGCTCTTTCCACACACTGCACATTTGCTTGTTACATTGAATTTAGCTATAGATAAAAGCCTGATAGAGTGATACATCCTAGTTTAATAACAGAGGAAGCATTCAGTCTTGATTTTAACCAACTGAAGAAACGATTCAGATGCTTCTTCCAGCGTTGTTGTATTTAGCTTTCAACTTGCAATCATATTAATATAGTAATATAGTGTCTAAATAAACTGTTCATAGGGGAAGAGTGTAGAGTTTGTTAGACTCCTCACCTCCTGTTTCTGCTGTTCTCCAGCTCTATAGATATCACCCGTTTGCCTTCCCCTACATCCACCGGAGGGGTCATGCCATCTCGTACCCAGATGAGTTTTCAGGACCGTGACCATCCTCATCGAGCATCCTCCAAAGACATGTTTTACGTATCACGCCCTCCCCTGGCCCGATCCAGCCCAGCGTACTGCACGAGCAGCTCGGATATCACAGAACCTGATCCTAAGGTGAGTTTTACCACACTGACTCGGGGAATCACCATCCCATCCGCTAGGTTTACCTTTATCAAGGTGAGATTAGTATGACGTGCATGTTGGTCATACTGTAAGAATCTGCCATCGTGTGATCGAGGCTCTAGTATATCATGACATCTGCTTTTTTCCCACTGATTCACCACGCAACTCATCCTAGCGGTATTTCCTGGGAAATACTTTGATGCATTCCGATAACCAGGCAGGCCTCGCGGTAAAAACACCCGCACCACCCTCACCCATCATCCGTGGCCACCTAACATAAGCAATAACAGGGGGCACACTAGCCTCTCATATCCCTTATTATTTAGGTGCTCAGTGTCAATAAAAGCGTATCTATGATGGACCTCCAGGATTCCCGAATGAACAGCGTGTCTAACCTGCAGTCGGTGGACATGCTCAACTCCTCCCAGGCCTCCATCGCCGGTATGGGCAGCTTCGGCGGGCTGAGCAGCGGAGGCGGTGGCGGCCTGGGGTCGGGCCTGAGCAGCCAGCTGCGGGCCGGTGGGAGGTTGTCAGCTGGCTCTGGCGGCTCCAGCATGTCCGGTGGCCTCCGGCTGAGCCAGCTGAGCCAGATGGGCACCACCACCGACTCGCTATCCCAGCAGCAGCAACAGCAGGCCGCCGCCATGCGCTACCCGCTTTCCTTCCAGAATCCCCTCTTTCATCTGGCGACTGCTGATGGGCCTCAACAGCAACAGCTCCATCACCAGCACAGCCGGGCTCAACCTCCCGCACCCCTTCTCCTGGCCCCAGAGCCCGAACCCTCTCACCAGTCCTACATCCCACAGTTCGCCCATGGAGGGTTCTCTCGCAGTGAGGATCTGTCCACCCTCAGGACCAGGGACGGTCACCTGGGACAACCCAGCATCATCCACTCACATAGCTACAGTGACGACTACAGCAGGGCTGACTATGGACGCAGGCAGATGTCCATGCATATGCAGGTAAATGGACTCTCACTGTATTTCTGTAATGTCATAAATTCGCTATGTAATAATGTTTACATGTGAAATGGTATTACTATAGATGTTGAATTAGTATTTTCATTATGCACAAAGGATAAAAAAGGAACAATGTTATAGACATTGATTAAAAAAATATAATCACAGTCTCATACCCTGAGCTTCAGTTCTTTTGTACAAACCAGACTGTGAAAAATCCCAAAATGCTCTAAAATAAACGCCAAAGATTTTCTAACTTGAAAACAGTAAATTATGAATCATTGATAATTAAATTGGTTCCAGAAGATTGTTTGATTCCACTCTAATCAATTTGTTGTGAAAGTCCTTCAGTGAGTATGCTTCATACCTCTTTTGCTCCAAAGCAGTGCCAAACTATCAACTAGGCCCAAAAACGTTTGAACGTGTTTACTGAAACCCTCAAAAATTGGGCCTTTCTTTGACAGTGGAGCCGAGCTTTAAGAGTCAATCACCAAAAAGATCTATTTATTCCAACATTTATTAGGAATATATAATATATATTAATTGATAATATATAATTCTGATTCTGAGGATTTGCAGTTTTTCTTTGTCTAGTGTGATGGTAACACACTTTTTTTAGGGATGAGCTTAAGACATGACGCCATCATAAGAAGTCATGACAAAGTCTTCTTGTCACAAAGTCACAAATCTTTGTGAATGTTTATGATTGTTGTCATTAAGTGTCACAATGTCATTTTTATTACAAAGTTACATTGATTGATATGTCTTTGTGATGACAGCTTGACATTAACCAGGACAACGTAAACCTGTCATAAACATGGCGTACCGGGTCAAACTTGAAAAAGTGTCTCACTTTTTGCATTACATCACATTACATTACATCACACATCACACTGCAGGAGCACCAATGTAAAAAGCCAAAACACAAGTTGCCTGTCAGAAAAGCTGAATCAAACTAGAATGCCATGCAGGCCTCATCTGACAAGGGGCTGCATTGGTTCTGTCAATTCCCAGTTTTATCCAATCTAGGAAGCTAAGCAGAATCAGGCCTGGTTAGTACTTGGATCCTTGAGTGTCTGGTGCTGATACCAGGTGCTGTAAGCTGGAATTTGATTGGGTAACGTGGGTTGTCCTTTTATTGGAGGGTTAGTGGATGAATCTTCAGCCCACCTGGTCTGTATGTCTTTGGGTGCTTGAGCAAGATACTGAGCTAGAATAAAGCACTGGAGCACCTCAAGGTGCGTAATATTGTAAGGTAAAGTGCTTCATTCACTGCTTCACAGTGAATGGGTTAAATGCAGAGAGGAATTTCCCCACAGGGATCAATAAAGTATACATTATTATTATTAAAGATACTACAATAATACAGAGAAAACTCCAACAATCAAATGACCCCCTATGAGCAAGCACTTTAGCAACAGTGGGAATAAAAAACTCCCTTTTAACAGGAAGAAACGTCTAGCAGAACTAGGCTCAGGGAGGTGCAGCCATCTGCTGCGACTGGTTGGGGGGGAGGCGAGGGAGACAAGGCAAAAGGCACACTGTGGAAGAGATGAATAATAGCTCCATGTTTCTACTGTTACATCACCTTCATTGACTGAATCTCAAAATGCTTGAAACACATCAATTCATCATTCGAACTGAACTTCTGTTACTACATTTTATTGTCTCATTAGTATTTGAGGCAATTTACCCAAGTGTGGCAACCCACTGAATTTTTTTCCAATTTGATAAGTGAATTAGTATAAATGTTAATTTATCATTCACGTGTTTTTCAAGGATAATCTCCAACAGCAACAAATGATGGGCATGGCCTCCCAGACGGGAACCTCCCATTCCTCTCTGGCCACCACGCCTCCCTCCACAGTCCAACCTATGCGGCAGAGTTCTGTTGCTCCGCCTCCCACCCAGCGTGTCAAATCCCAGACCTCCCATCAGCTGTCCGTCAGTGCAGCTGCTGCACCCTCTGCTCCTGCAAAAACTAGGCCGCAAAGCGGAAACCTTCTCCAGTCGCCAGAATCCGGCTACGGCAGGCAGCATGGGCCCCGGCAGCTCTCCGTCAAAGACAACACTGCCCCGGGCCTGCCCCACCAGCAGAGCTCTGTCAGGGAAAGCCAGAGTCCACAGGGAACCACCAGTCAGAGCACTCAACAGTCACCACAGCAGCAGCCTCAGCAACAGCAGCACCTGCTCAAACCCACTATGAGCAAACAGGTAACTGCTGCACACTCTCCTAATATCTAACTTTCCTATTTTTTTTTCTTTAGCACCTGTGCTCACAGCTATTTCTCAACAACAACGTGTAAGATGTCAGTGTTTAGCTTATCTAGGGGATAAAACTGACATTCAAGATTAAGAGCTTGGGAGCCACCAGGGCTCAGCCATGCTCAAAATGTATGAACTCGTGTAGCACTGAGGCATTTTGGGTAACATCGTGCACCAAATTTATGCAAGTGACTTTCACTCAATTAAAAATTCATGTTCTCATATTCAGTGTGCTGACCTTTCTTCCCAGGGTTCCCAGTCTCCATCTACCCTCAATCCCCCAACGCCAGCCAATGAGCGGACGGTGGCCTGGGTCTCCAACATGCCTCATCTGTCCGCTGACATTGAAAGTTCTCGGATTGACCGTGAGGAATTCAAACTTAAGGAGTACTCAAAAAGCATGGATGAGTCACGCATGGATAGGGTAGGTTTAATTTTTAACTATTTAATTAACATTTCAGTTGAAGTCAGAGGAACATTGAGTTATGTCTGTCATTTCTGAGCAGATGGCACTCAGATTTGATCTTGACACAGAAGTCCAGAGGCCTCAAACTGTGGGAAACAAAAGCCATGAGCCAAATGTTCAACTTGTTTGCATTCTTTTTCTTTTTCTGCAGTTTGGCATATTTACTGTACCTCATCCTTTATAAAGGCAGCCGGCCTAATTTTGAATATCTGGAGGTGGTTTCCAATGCTTTCATGAATGTGTTTAGAGAACTCAAATCCACCAGGCACTGCAGTGACCAAGAAAGCAAGGCATGTACGCACCAGCGTCGCAATAAACTGCTCTAATTTAGCATTCTTTTCACATCTCTACCTCAGGTACGGGAGTACGAGGAGGAGATCAACTCCCTGAAGGAGCGCTTGATGATGTCCCACAAAAAGCTGGAGGAGTATGAACGGAGGCTCCTCACGCAGGAGCAGCAGACCAATAAGATCCTCCTACAGTACCAGAATCGTCTCGAGGACAGTGAGAGGAGGCTACGGCAGCAGCAAGTGGAGAAAGACTCCCAAATTAAAGGAATAATTAGCAGGTAAATGGAAGCTGTTGTTGGGATGGAGGGAAAAGACTTGTGGTCTTGTATAAGGAGGCCATTGGTGGGCCATAGTCTTTCTTTTTCTTCTGTTACAGGGTTTTTGTGGAAAAAGGACCTTTTCTATAAAATTATGATTGCTAGCATTAATTAAAAAGACTTCTTATACTTCTGCGGAGGACTCCACAGTACGGCGTTAGCATATTGGATTCTGTTTAACAGGATGAAACATGAAAATGAAGCAGTTGTTACTGGCAATATATACATTGCACATCGGAATAAGACTCTATTTACCAGAGGTTGTTATCTTGAAAAGAATATTACAAGATAAGGAGATTGGTTTCCGTTTCATAAAGCACTGTAGCCTATGAGAAAGGATGGGAGCTTTATATTGAAAGCCAAAGCTGCAGACATGTAATGAGTGGCAAATTAAATAATAGACTGTAATACGGAAGACAAAGATCTTTATCTTAGATAAGCATCCAGGAGATGTTCCCGTGGTGGTTGTTTCTTCAGCTTAGTTAAGCTGGACAAAAGAGTCTTTGATTGTCCTCTGAGCTCTTGCCGTAGCAAATTTAAATGCGGTCATAACCTCACAACATGCTTTATTTGTTATTCAAGAGCATCATATTTGGACAACTGCAGAGAACTCCAGCTGAGCCCTAATTTCTCGAGTGCTTGTGCAAAATTGTAATGGGGCTTTTATTGTCAGTGCAGTCTTAACTTTTATTGATCACTCACAAATTAAGCAGTTCATGGAAAAAAGGGTTGAGTATTGATCGTGTCTCAGTTGTATTTTTCAGGCACAAAAACCAAATATTTGCTGGGTTTTAAGGACTCCGTGAGCATTTTACGTGTGACCGCATATTAGCAATGCTGCCCTGCATTTAATTTTGTTTTTATTTTTCAGTGAAAAGACACTTAAAACTACATGAAAATATTGCAGTATTTTTACATCTTATAATAGTCTGTGGTCTGCAACTGAAGGGTGGATAACTGTGACAGAGAATATTGCCACTTCTAATCCACTCCAGGAAAGAAGACTTGGAATGAAGACAGAGAGTCCTGCTCGTCTTTTATGGAAAAACATCTTAAAAGGCCTAACCTTGTATATAACCACCATTAAAACGTCCTCCTTTATCCTGCGCTGTCACACTCACCATCAGCTGTTTGTTTATGAACAAAGTTCTGGATTTTGGGATCATGCAGGATGATTCCAGTTAGCAGAATTTTCAAATGATTCTCCCACGAGATTGCACTGTAAAAGCACAAAAGGATGGGGAGTTGTAAAACTTCAGAAACATGTCTGCACTTTTTAAACCAACTCAAAGAATTGTTTTGGACCTTCGGGCACCGGACTATGGAAGACCATGGTTTAATATTAGCTCTTCCATTTTAAATCAAGGTGAACCATGTTCACTGAAGGACTGCTGATGGTTTTTTTTTTACCTCTCCAGAGTGAACATGGGGACTAATACCTCTTTTAACAACACATGATGTGAAATGAAGAGGGGTGAACATCAGAGACAAACCTGAATCAGTCAGTGAATGGTGAAGATTCAGGTATAAAGGCATAAATGAGCTATGCCCTATACTACAGAAACTTTGTCAGAGCACTTAAAGCAAAACCCTTGATTACTGCTCCCCTGAAGTTAAAGCTTAAGGAGAGTGCTGTACACATGAAGCACAACGTGCAGTTATTAGCTGCTGTTTTCAAGGCTTAAACTTGTAACTTTTGGGACCTTTATCATCTGACCACACAAGGATGAATTACAGTAAGTAGCAGATCTGGATGCTTCCGAGTCAATTTTACACACAATTCACTGAGCCAGCCCAGGTCATGCAGAGCATTGCAGATCTAATGCACACACACGAGCAATGCAAATAATGTAGAGGGCGTCCTGTTGATTGGACTTCAGAATATCAGTGAAATAACAAGTGCAACCATAGCCTTATGTTATGTTTCACCTTAAATTGAGTTTTATGTTCAATTTTCACATTCAGATATATAAACATATATATATATATACATATATATTATGTTGATGCAAAAGCAAGCTCAGGTTCTGCTAATGGAGCCCTTAGTTGTGACCTTAATTTCATGGCTCCTGTGTAGGCTTGGAAAAAAAACCAACTCTTTATCTGCAGACCTAAAATACTCAGCGTTATGTTTCAAGTTTGAGAGATATTTTTTTTCAGAGAAGCCTTAATGTTCTGTGCATAGAATTTGCTTTAAGCTCAGAGCAAATCCAACCTATGTCATTAGACCAGGTACACATTTTGTTCTCAACAATCTAATTTAAACCAAAGCCGAATATTGAGTTTTAGGTTAAACACTGAATCCACTTTACCTGTAGCACTTGTATTTTTATTTTTTCTTTAGGGTAGTTATTCCATTAGTTGGCTACAGGCTCTCATATTTTTTTGTCAAAATACTTTAATTTTAAATATGAATGAAACTATTTATCTTCCCCGAGCTCTTTGCTGTGAACTGAAGAGATTTATATTGACGAGATGCATTGAATTTGCAGCAGAAAGGGGGGAGGGGACTTAATGGTCTTAATTGCACCTGTCATAGTAATAATCTATTTTAACTATAACCCATAGCATAGTAAATTCAGTAATGCAAGAGCCATAATAATAGTAGTATAAGAAATGTGATGTATATGAATTCTATTGAGAGTGAGATTACTATTTTAACCTTGCAATAGCTAACTTTTTAGGAGAAGCGCAATAACAGATGCAGTATGTATCTGCGTGTGCTGTTTGTGCCGAATGCACATGCAGGATCCTGAGGAGGTGTATTGTATGCATCTTGTGTAGATAACGAAACAGTGACTTCCTGCCAAAATCTTTTACCAGGTGCCATCTGCAGTATCTAAACATACAAAATATAGACCTGGAATACTGTAAAATGCAAAACACCACAGAGACAACATGACGACAATGACGTGAGCTTTTGACAGCAGTATGTTCTGCAAAATGTGTTCTTAAATCCTAAGTTGGGGTTTTTTTCTATTGTTTATGGGTTGTTTTTTCTTTTTCTTTTTTTTTTTTTTGATGACCTGTATGGTGCTTGTGAACTTATCTGCATTTTAAATGAAAGATTGAAATTTATATTATTTATTAATTAAAGCAAAACTGACTTTCTCATCTCTGTATGATTTTTGCTGTAAATGCTTGGTATGATTTTGTTTTTGACCTGCAGTCCGTCATTGGTGGTGTCCGGTGACGTGGTGATCAGAATAGTTGTTTAAGAGAGTTAGACTGTCATTTAACTTATGCACTTAAAATATGATTTAAGTATTAAAAGGAAAAAACATATTCTTTTCTATTTATTTTCCCTCTCCAGAGTCTTAGATAATATTCTGGTGTCAGTATACCTGCCTCTCTTTGTAGCAAGAATATATTGATAGGCTGTATAGATTGTACAACAGCAAAAATTATGTTTAAATCTTGCAAATGAATTCATAGTGGTGATGAGTTTTGGCTTGATGTGTGTGTGATTGACATGGCTTGTAGCAACAGCCAAGGGTTTTTGCTCACTTTTATATAGACCTGTGTCAAACAGTTGCGTTGTTTATTTTAAACAAATGCACTCAAAGAGGAATTTGGTTTAATGTGCATTTTAACTGCATCCATTTGGATTGCATAGTTTTTACATAAATAAACAATGTGATAAATTCGATGGGAGGCATATCCGTCAGTCAAATGTAAGTCAAACATACTGTTTTTTAAATGCATATTAACATGCTGTTCTGTACTGGGGACTTGGGTTGATTGCGTGGTTGTTTTTGTATATTTAAAACACTTTTAGTTTGCTTGTTTTGTTTATGTTTGACTGACAAAAAGACATTGCTTTAATTTATGTTAAAATGATTTGTAATGTGTGATTAAAGTGCAGAGTAAGCTCAAATATGTCACGAGGTTGGGTTAAACTTGCTGTATCAACACAAATTAGATGTTATCAGGTAAGTTTACAAAAAATAGAGAGCATATCTGCAGCTGCTGTTTGACCCAGGTCTGTCTTTCCTTTTGCTTTTCATTAACTTTACATCCTATTTGACACCTTTTGTCTTTTGCCTTTTTCCTCTGTAGCAAAATATTCAGACTTTGTGACCTCATGTTGGTACATACACACATTGTTTTGACTAAATGTACGACTTGACCTCAAAAGCACACTACTTGAAGTACAACTGGATATATAAAGCTTAACTTCTTTTTTTTTCCCTCTTCTTTTTGTAACATATCACCCACATGAATCATTGTCTGCCTTTTTGGAGTCATGTCAGAATCTTAATGCTGTATGCCCATGTTACATTCCATTGTTTTTTGGGACAGTGCTAATATTTCTGTGTGTGCTTATGATTGACTCTTTTCTTTTCCTCTTCTCTTCTTTTGTAAAAAAAAAAAACAAACTCTCAACATTGTACATTATTTATGGAATAAAACATCCAAACGCTTATGTTTGAAACTTCACCTGTGGATTTTCGTTCTTTATTGTCAAACACGTGCCTCTGTGTTCTTAATAAAGTGATATGGATGTGGTGGAGAGGACTAGCTTTGAGTGACACAGTACGACTTGATTTGTGGTGTATTTATTTCTGCATGGCGCCAATTAAATGTTCCTGTCAACTATTTGATTGGATTAGTGGCTTAATGAATGCACAAGTGACAATCTTCCACCTTGTTTTACTTTGACAAATTGACATGCGTTTGCAAGATTACTCAATAGTTGACTATTATAAAGGGATAACATTCCAACAGTCATGTTTCATGTTAAGAAAATAAAGGATGTTTATTCTTCTGCTGTCAGCTACGATTAAAAAAAATGTAAAACATGGAAAATCATGAAGGCAATGCATTGAAGTCTATGATGTTGAGAGGTCTTTCTTTATTCACGGTAACTTCTACTTGGCATTTACACCAAATGACAATATCCACAATCTAGCCAGTTGGCCAAGTAAGTGTAAGATAACGCTTTGAGAGAAATATCATTGAATGACTCTATCCCTGGCACTTGAATAATCATGAAAGCTGGGAAACCTGCACTGTTTGCTGGCTCATGAAAACTGCAGCCGGACTCTCGCTCGTATCTGCGAGCAGATTCTTTGAAATGATTAGTCAAAGGATTTTTCTGCCCGTGCCTTGGTCAGTCCATGTTACGCAAGATGGGAAATTCCCTGGGGATGATGGGGATCAGTTACTGAACATTCACGTCACATAACCGGGTGTAATTTTCCACTGTTGGCTGTAATTGCGCTTTGAAAACACCTTAAATTGGGAACAAATACTTTGATAAATCCCATGGGGACAAAACAAGGCTCCACCAGTGAAAATTGGCAGTGCCTCATAAAGCACGGCTTACGTTCCTGCTGCTCAGTGGCTCAAAAGATTGTGCTTCCTATCAGTATTTGAGATTTAGATTTGAGATACAGGAGATCAGCATCGTATCACTGTGATGTCGTTGAGCCAGATGTTGGAGATGCATCTGCTCAACATCTTGTTAAGTATCATTTTGAATTCATAATACTCCCTCTCCTTCTGTCACCCCCCCTTCCCTACTTTCTCTCTCCCCCTCTCTCTTTCTCTGCTTCCAAGACTCATGGCTGTGGAGGATGAGATAAGAGGAGGAGCCATCCTTGAGCCAAAAACCAGGATTTTCGCTGATCAGGTCTGTGAGATTGCTTCTTCTGTCGTCGAGTTCGTACGGTGGCCCGTGCTATCTTCTTTCTCCATCCTACCTCTCTTCCCCCCCCCTGTTATTGATATGATTTCGTTTGCTGTGTGTATGTGGTCCCTCTGATCTGCCTCTGCCTTGCCCTGTCCCTGACCTGTCCTGTTTGGGTTTGACTGCCATTCGTCTGCCAACATACGCGGGGGCTTTGAAGATGAAAGATGAAAGAATGCTGTTGTTTGTATTCTTAAGCTCAAGCTATCAAGATGTCTGACTCTAGCTGGGTTTGTGAACGTATCTGGGTTTGTGGTGATGTTGCCAGTTTTGTAGTTGCTTCTGTGAAACCTTTCTGCCGAGCATGTTGGGGTTAAAACTCCTGGTGGCTCCCTTTCGCACAGATTACTGAACAGCTGAAGCTCACGTCTTACTGTATTGTACGCTGCGTGATGGTGGTGCTGTGTCTTCGGGAGCTCTACTTCCTCAGTGCTTCTCATTTCATGCCCCAAACCCACCCCCTTTCCTTATCCTGCCATCCTGTCAAATTGAGCAAGCCCACCTTCAAGCATGAGTCATATGAGTTGATATATATATAACTCAAATGTAGAAATATTATTGGAACATGATCTTTGCTGTGTTGTTATCTTTAATGCTGTGACCTGTACAAGTTTTGCTGATTTAATTAAATGTAAATATATTGCTGTATAGCTTGTAAATTTGCCTCAGGGATCAATGTAATCACCTCAAGGAGATTACATCATAATTTGTCAACTTATCTCTCTTATAAATTAGATTCTATAGTAAATTTATCAATTAAATGTAGCTGAGTAATATATATTAATACCTTATATGAAGTTGTATGACATGGTACATGCGTAGAACTTACCTTTTACACTTATTTACTTTGCAAGATTCAAGATTCAAGAGTGTTTCTTGTCATTTCGGATGCTATTTACAGAAGTACACAGGCTCATATGAAATGTTTCTCAGCAGCCTCTATAGTGCAATAAAAATAAAATGCAATATTAGGTGTAAACAATCATATTCATTCAGTTAGCGGCAGTTCTTTCACAGAGAGGGATTAAATTAGATGAGATTTGAGACCAAGTAGGCTAATTCAGCCCCATAAAGGGCCCAGGAAATTTAAAAGTTGTTTTGTTACCATGCAAAATACTTTATATGTTAAATGTAATGGAGTGTGAAAAAGTAAAGATATTTTTTCATTGTAGTAGGTAAGTAAGTAAAATGTATTTATAAAGCAAATTTCACAGATAAAAATCTCAAAGTTCTGGCTTCAGCTGCTGTAGCAGTCATTGTCACGTCTGACACTGATTTGTATGGTTTCTGTGTTACTATGTCTAACGTAGCCGTGGCTTCACCCATGAACTCTGGTGTGACTCACGTAACCTGGAAATTATACCATGAAAAATATGAAGAATTGCGAATGTTGTGTCCCATTTGCAGCATACTCATTTGTGGAGCACTGAAATTGTCAAAATAAAAAAAAAACATAATTTATTAGTTTCCAAAAAGACATGAAATACACGAGAATATATTAAAAATAATTGGAGGATTGTGAGGTAGAAAATTTCATGAATTCTCAAATTTTAGTAATTTAACACAAGAGTTTTGTTGCTAATCCACATGATAAGAACTATATAAGGCATTACAATTTCAGGTGCTATACATATAAATTTAAATGCATTAAATTCTATTCTGATCATTGAATGAAGGAATAACTCTTTACTTGCCAATTTCCAAGTAATTTCCTTTCAATCAGTAACCCAACTTGACATGTTCCTTCATTCATTAGGTCATACTTTTGAATTGTCACTCATTTAACTGCATGAAAAATTATTTTTTAAAAATGCCTCATTGTACGTTTCTAGTTGACCTTTCGAGGTGCAGAGAGTTGAAAATAATAATAAATTAATAATATGCCAAAAGAGAAGAGCTGACAGACGCTCCGAGTGTCACTCTGGTGGTCATGATTACAGCTGATGTGACCGTTATATGTTCTGAGAATGTACTGTATACAGCACAGTATTTCAATGTCTATATGGATTTATAAACCTGTGAGTTTGGACTGGTGTTGGAGAAGTTATGTTTCATATAAACCAAATTTGGTGCCAGATGGATAACACTATTTAGAATTTGATTTACTGCAGATTTTTTAAAATATTAAGAAGGAAAACAAAGAAAGAAAAACCCAGGACTTTTAGGAGCACAATGAATCATGATAAGTCATGGTCTCTGTCAGCAGAAAAGATGTATTTTGCTAAAAGTACCAAATTATATTTCTGTAATCACAAGAAAAGTTTTCTTACAACTACAGAATTACAATCAAGCTGCAAAAGAGAAAAAAAAGGAAAGAAAGAAAAAATATGCAAACGTATTCATGTATTCAGCTCATTCAAATTTAAAAATTCTAATTTATCCTTATATTTAAACATTTACAGCGCTGCAAAAAAGTATCTATGCCCTTCTTAATTTCTTTTTTTTTTTGTCACACTTACATATTTCAGAGAATCATATATTAGAATGCAATAGAATAGAATAGCCCTTTATTGTCATTGTACAACGGAATTATGGCTGCTCCATGGCAACTGTGCAGGAATAATATATAAATAGTAAGACAACCGGAATAAATAACAAACAGGTGAAATCTTTCCAAACTACAGGAATATATACAAAGTGCTTGGAAGTAGTGCAGAGGACTTGGTCTGAGTATAAGTACATATGTGAGTGGCCTGAGTGATGGGGGTTACTCAGACCATGGCTCACCGTGGGGTGTGGGGGGGATAGTGTTTGTTGACAGGGGAAGAGGCTGTTTCGTGGTCTGGACGTGTGGTACTGACCAGTGAACAGCAGGTCAAACAGGTGGTGGGTGGGGTGCAAGGAGTCACCTGTGATGGCCCTGGTTTACCTGAGGCAGGAGGATCTGGCGATGGCCTCCAGGGGTAGTAGAGGGCAGCCAATGATTTTTGGGGGAGCGGTGTTAATAACCCTCTGCACAGCCTGCCTGTTCTCAGTCATGGCCCCTGTATACCAAACACCCAGGCAGGAGGAGAGGGTCCAGGTGAGATCAGCAGAGATGTGGGCACCCAGGAGAATAATTCCAGCTGTTCTCCATTTATAATCAGGGGCGAGTGGACCTGTCTGTGCCTCCTGTCCATTATGAGTCCTTTGGTTTTAAGGACATTCAGCTTCAAGTTCTCTAACTCTGCCCTGTACGCTGTCTCATCTGCATCAGAGATGAGCCCAACCACAGCGTCATCAGCATACTTGACGATGACATTGGTTGGGTCGGTTTGGTGTACAGTCATAGGTGTACACAGGGTGTACGTGTACACCTAGGTGTACACCTATGGGCTGAGAGCTGGTGCTGAGTGACAGTGAGAGCAGAGGTGGTGGCTGAGTCTAAACCTAATAACTTGTTGTCCCATCCTTGGCAGCAAGAACTCCAATGTGATAACTGACAATGAGTCTTTCACATCACTTGGAGGAAGTTTGGTCCACTGTTCTTTGCAGAATTGTTTTAATTGAGCCACAATGGGGGGTGTCCAGCATGAATGGACTGTGCACGGACATAACAAAGTATCTTAATCTGATTTAAGTTCTGACTTTGACTAGGCAAACTCCAAACCTTTTGGGATAATTTTCCTGTTGCATAACCCAAGTGTGTTTGAGTTTCAGGGCCTGAACTTACCAATGCGAGTCACAACTTCCAAAACATTAAACCTTTGTCTCGTCAGTCTACAGAATATTTCCCCAAAAGTCTTCTTTTTGGTCAGCAGTGGTTTTTTCCTTGGAATTCTCCCATTTTTGTCCAGTTTCTTGCTTATTGTTGAATCATTGCCTCAACTGAGGCAAGTGAGGCCTGCAGTTCTTCACATGTTGTTCTGGGTCCTCCTGAATGAGTCATCACACTCTTGGAGTAATTTTAGAAGGCCAGATCCACTACGGCAAGGCTCTCCACTGTTCCAAAAATGATGTATTTGTGGATAATGACTCTCACCATGGTGCACTGACAAAAATATTGGGTCAGGCCTTTTAATCTTTAAATTCAGGCATTTACAGTCGCATTTTAATGGGTGTATAAAATCAAATGCAGTGTGCCTTTGAAAATACTTGTAAAACAATGGGTCGTTCTAAAGAGCTCACTGAGTCTGAGCGTCAGTTCATAAATTTTCTTCCCTTCTAAATATTCCAAAATCAACTGTAAGTGGTATTATTACAAAGCTGAAGTGTTTAGGAACAACAGCAACTCAGGTAAAAAGTATCGGTGTAAAGTTACAGAGTGGGATTGACAAGTGCTGAGGTCCACAGTGTGTAAAAGTTGCCTGCACTAACTGCAGAGCTCCAGACCTTCTCTGACATTAACATCAGCATGAAAAATGTGAGCCAGGAGCTTCATGAGATGAGTTTTTACGTCCAAGCAACTCCTGTAGATATAGCTGACCCAGTAATTTTGTCAATTTAGTGTATCTGTAAAGTTAAACCATTCGGACAGCATTAATGTTTTCAGCTACAAGCTAATGTCAGCATATCAGTGATGATTATAATAATAAAGCTAGGCTGGGGTGATGATTTCTTTCTTCACCGTGTTAGCGTGTGTTATGTAAATGAAAGATGAGGAAAGTTTAATCTGATAAATTATGTAATATCCAGGTTTCTATTGTACCTTTGTAATTTCAAAGATGATAATCCCCCAGTTTATGTTAATGTGCTGTACATGGCTGAAACCTGGGAAAATGTGATGTGACAAGGAAGATACTGCTGCAATGTTCCTTTAATGTGCACCGCTCGAAGCTAAAACAGCCATTACTGTGAGTGAGCATTTTGTTGGGCTGTTTTGTCAGAAGTTAGTATTTAGTTTTCTATTTCAGCTTTAGGCACTCGTGCTTGTCACCTCAGCATTTAAGATGAGCAGACAGTTCAGTCCAGTGTGATAACTTTCACTTTTAATGTGTGGCGCACACGCAGCAGCTGAGAGTGTG